AATTTTGAATTACTTTGGCCAACCCCTTGGCTTGGCCCTAACTCCGTGGCTACTGCTTCCCTCTTGCTGGTTGACAGGCTAGCAGGGACAGAGAGGGTCACCTCAGGCTGCTGTGGGCCCTTGTGCTTGCTTTATTCCTGGGACTTCATACAGGGGGCCTGGTCAGGGAGCGCTGTCAGCCTGTATAAACAGAAGCTAAAGTTGCTTATTTATGTTGGACGAGTCCCTGTTTCAGAGACCCTATTCTGAAAGGTCCCTGACAGACGGCCGGGGCTCACTTCTGTGTTGTTTGTGTGTCTTGCTCAGGATGGCAGGCAAGTCTACTGGGAAGGCTCTAGAAACCCTCTTACCTGCAGATCCCTGTCTGCTCTGGCAGATGGGCCACCATTCTGCTCTTCCATTTATTTCTCTTCTGTGCAGCTGTCCCCATAACTTATTCCTTTCTCTCTTGTTTGTTTTCTGTTTTCTGTTCTATGTCTTGCCTCCCGTTTTTCTTTATTTCCTTTAAAAACATAACCAGCTATAATGCTGTTTTTTCATTGGTGCTATGTATTGAATAGCTAGCTGACTTACCGAGCCCCTGCTGTATATTTAGCCTCGTGCTAGGGGTTGAGTAATGAGTCAGGAACCACCTAACTGAACTCATGCTGGTGAGACTTTGAACTGGGCCCTCTGCTATATACAGAGGGCGATTTGGAGGCGTGTAAAAAATTCGCCAGTCAAAAACTCTTTGACCTAGTAACTCCACATCTATAAATGTGTCGTCATCTCACATGGGACAATAGAGAAGAACTGGAAACAGCTGTGTCCAGCAACAGGAGGGAGAGGGTTAAGCCATCCTGGCATCCACAGGGGAGACCAACTGAACTTGGAAAATAAAGTTAAAGTAATATATTTATTATAAAACTGAGAAAAGTGGAAAATGATTAAGAAATGAAAGTGACCCTTATCTCACCATTCAAAATATTAATATTTTTGGTGCGTGTTCTTCTAGTACGTCAGCAATGAACTAAATTGCTTTTTCCCACTTTCAAAATGAGATTTCAGTTTTTGCCTCTTCTGATTATAGAAGGAAAACATACAAAAAGTAAAACATTGATTTTAAAATGCATTGAGCCAAAGCATAAGGAGCCAGTGTCAATGGCTTTTATTGTCCTGCTCCTTACCTTCCTGCTTTACAGAGGTGAACACTATCTCATTAGGTAAATCTCGGGAGCCTCAGCCCTTTTGTTCAGTGGCTGCAATACTGTGTCATTACCCACCTTGCACATCGGCCTGGGAGTTTCCTTTGGATTAAGGTCTCCTCTACAAGTGGGAGCCTGCTTGGGCCTGGGTCTTGCCACCTCCTCTGTGACACACACTACCTAACCCTGGAGAAATTTCCTTGTTGCTCCAGTGGGGCTCTGTTTTAGTCTCTGGTCTGACAGTGTGTATTAGTCTATGTTAAAATGAACCGGCCTCCTAGGTGTTACTGTAAGTTGCTCATTGCCTAAGCACCCGCCTCCGCCCCCGCCCTTCCCCGCTGCAGAAGGCACTCTCCCACCTCGGGGCTGAGGGGTTCAGGTGGGCCTCCTGCTGCTGGGTGAGGTCAGCACTATTAATAGGCACTTAATCCTGCTGTGGCCAGTGGCTGGGGTGGGGGATTTCCTGGAAAAGAGGGCTCTGTTGGAGGGCTTGAGAGCACAAGGCCAGTCCTGGGTGTCAGGAGGTGGGACTTGCCAGGAGGCCCGCGAGAAGGATGCTGAGGACACCATCCTGGTGGTGGAACCGTGTCTGATCTGGGGCCCCTGGATCTAAGCAGTGAGAAAGGCAGCCATGACTGGTGAGCAGGCCCCTTGCAGGGCCCTTGTGGCTTTGTAACCTAGCACCTAGTGAGGTGTCCTTCTGGTCTTTGAGAGATGATGATAAAGCTTTTCATGAGGGAAGAGGACATAGCAAAGGTGGGGGACTGGGCTTCCTGGGGCCCCTGGAGACTGCCTGTATGTGTCCAGCAGAGTCTGGAGCGTCTACTGTGCTCCAGGTGTGCGGCAGGCAGAGGGGGTGGCACAGAGAGGAGGAAAGTCACAGTGCAGCCTTGACTAAGCTGCACCCTGCTCCGTAGGGACATGGATGCCAGTGGGCCAGTGTCACATGCAGGCCTCACAGCTATGCAGATGCTGGGAAAGGAAGAACTGGGCCATGGGCTGGCCCACCCAGGGCTGAAGGTAAAAGGTGACAAGTGAAGGACTCTGTCTTCTCACTCCTCGCTCCTGTTCCAGGTGGGAGAGGGCAGTGGAAGAGGCCCAGGCTTTCTGTCTGGTCTGTCCAGCCCTCTGGGGTCTCTAGAGACTGGACAAAGGGAGACGAAGGGCAGGATAGGCAAGTTAGCAGCCAGGTGTGGCCCAGAGGAGACCAAATGACAGCAGTGTCAGGGTGTCTCTCTCTTACAGCCAGGTTGCCCCTTTCTGGCCTTGCTTGGATTTAAAGGAAACCCCAAGTCCCAGAAGAAGCAGTATGGGAGTCCTTTAAAAGTTACTTTAACATGTGTATCTTTATAAAATTTAACACATGCGTTTATCTTTATAAAATTTACACTATCGATTATGGAATTTTAGGAATTTCTCTTCAGAAAAATAAAAAAAAGAAATGAAAACCACCCTGAATCCCCTATACTGTTAGGATAAATCTAGGAGATTGTTACTTTTATTGGCCCAAAATAGTCAAATATCAATAATTTGCTATCTATCAGCCAAATTTGAACAGTTTGCTATATTTCCACAGTCTTTTTGTTTAAATAAGGAAAGTGTGGGACTCTCAGCTTTTGGGGTAGATGTATTATTTAAATTTTCATGTTTCATTTCTTACCCCAACCACCCCCAAATTCAATTATCCAGTTGGATCGAGACTAATAATAAAATGAGGTAACTCATTCAAACAGAATTCTATATTAGATTTAAATTTCTTTCAGTGAGAATCATGAGCATATAAGCCCTAAGTCGATCCTATTTTAAATGGTAGATCAGCTAACAGTGCTTTCTGACTCATACAGACTTCTGAATCACCAAAACTCAATCATTCTTAGTCTCCGTCCCTTCTCCCTCCTCCCATGAGCGGAGTCATTCGCCCCACAAGCACAAAGCAAACACTCTGTGCCTCTTGATGTTCTGAGTTGGGGACACAGGCTGAAGCCCCTGCTGTCATAGACTCACAGTCTACTGGGAGCAGGGGGCCCGGCAATGATAAAGGCAGGGATAAACATGACAGCCTTTATTTTAGGTGATAGAGTAACAACTGGTTTAGGGTGCTGGAGGAGGGTTTGTCGGCAGGGAGGCCCTGGGGGTGGGCCTCACCCAGAGGGTGACACACAGACCTAGAGAGGGGAGCTATGCAAATGTGTTGGAAGGAGGTGCAGGGAGCAGAGTCAGGTATCAGGTGTCTGTGGAACAGCAAGGAGGAGAAGGCTAGCCTGAGCACAGGAGAGAGAAGTAGGAGATGGGCGAGGGGCCACACGAGAGGCTTTGGGCCAGGCACAGACAAATGTGGCTTGTGCTTGGAGTGAGGTGTGAGGTGACCTGACTTCTCTGTGAGAGGCCCCGCCCTTGCTGCAGTGTTGAGAGTGGACTAGGGGTCCAGGACGAAGCAGAGAGATGGTGAGGAAGGGGTGTGTGTGGCCCGGAATGGGACAGTAGCCGTGGAGGCCACCAGGAGAGGTTGCATTGCAGGCACCCCTTGCAGGCAGAGCTGATGGGTCTGCTGAAGGGGTTGGATGTAGAAGGGTAGAAAATAGAGGAGGCAGAATTCACTGCCCCATGGCCGATGAGCTGGATTGAGGGAGATGGGATAGGCTGGGGCAAGGGCAGGAGCTTGGTTTTGGCGATAAGTTCAAGGTATTAGACATCTACACAGAGCTGGCTGTTGTCAGCTGCAGGTGGATGTTTGAGTCTGGAGGGCACAGGAGAGGGCTGGGCTGCAAATACTTATTTAAGACATATAGTTTGTACTTAAAGTCACAAAGCAAGGGACCTAGGCACAAAGACTGAGCCCTGGGACCCTCCCACATTACGAGGACAGAACAGCCCCTGAGATCAGAGGACTCCAAGAGACCGGTATCCCAGGAGGAGGGAGTGGCCCCTGGTCAGAGAGTGCAGACTGAACATTAGGCCCCTACCATTAGAGGACTTTGTGACCTTGGGCAAGGGAACATTCTGCTAAGAGCAAATTAGTAAAGGCAAATACAGCCCAGATTCCAGTGGCTGGGCCAGCAGAAGGTGAAGGGGAAGCTGTGGAGAGACCAAGAAAGACGTGACCCTCACAGCTCTGCTGGGGCTTCCTCCCTTAGGCTGCTCCAGACCCTGGAGTGTGGGCCAAGCCCTCTGGGCTGGCTCCCTGTTGTCACATGCTGGGGTCAGGGGCACGAGACCAGAGTAAGAACCCAGGGGGGCCTGGGAAACCCTACCACCCCACAGAGCTTTTGTGGAGGGCGTCTCCTCCTTCCTCTTGCTTTAGGACTAAGGGGTGGCCCTTCTATAATTATAGTGCCTGCCTGGCCTAATTATTTGCCAGGCTAATTTGTTAATGGCTTTGGGACCAAGAGCCTTTGCCTGGGGCAGTATCATGGCCCCAGGGCACCTGCAGGGAGTTTGTGAATGGCTCTTGGGACACCAGGGTAGGAATGGGCAGGGGCCCTCGGGAACCCCTGGTCCAGCTGTCTCTGGCTCCTCTTTTTACGGGTTGTCAGTGTGGGTCTTTCCCTCCCCTGGATCTGGCACCAGCAGGACCTTGCCGTTTCATTCTGCTTAAATAAATGGTCCTTAATGCCTTGACACTAAAATATACTTCTGGTTTTCCTTCTCATAAAAGCAATATGTTTGCAGTAGAAACTTCAGGAAATACAGAAAAGAAAAAAAACCACCCCTGACCCTACCCGAGTGACTCATGACCCCAAGTGTGTTAGCATTTCGGAGGAGGAATGTCATGACTAGTCCCTTTGCTCTTGTCTGACTCACTGTGTTGTCCCCCAGGGAAGTCCCACTTGGCCATCGTGCAGAAAGTAAACAACGAGGGTGAAGGGGACCCCTTTTACGAGGTCCTGGGGCTGGTCACCCTGGAGGATGTCATCGAGGAGATCATTAAGTCGGAGATCCTGGACGAGTCAGACATGTATAGTGAGTTCCTGTCCTGCCCCTTACTCTGACATCCACTGTCTTGCGTGGGAAGGCCACAGTGCGGGGACATAGGGGCAGGGCTGCCTGAGACTTGGGGATTCATGCAGGCTGGGCTAGCGGGGAGAGGAGGCCACCTTGGTTCCTGCCTTTGGCCTTTGGACCACCCTGGCCCAGGCTCCGCTGTTCCTGCATGGAAAGAGGGACTGCAAGGCTGGCAGCTGGTGGGAAGGTTCCATCTACTCCTGAGTCCATGGAGGGGACAGCGTGCTCAGCTCCAGATTCCTCCTCTTGCAGCTGACAACCGGAGCCGGAAACGGGTGTCTGAGAAGAACAAACGCGACTTCTCTGCCTTTAAGGATGCTGACAACGAACTCAAGGTGAAAATTTCACCTCAGCTGCTTCTGGCTGCTCACCGTTTCCTGGCCACAGGTAAGAGTGAGAGGAGGGACACGATCATGGAGGGAGAAGGACTTGGCCCTGACTGCTCCCAGAGGGGACCGGGCTGCACCTGGAAGGCACAAGGCGGCTCCTCCATCCTTGGGCGCGCGCTGTGATCTGCGTTCCCTACTGCATACTTTCAGGATGCATCCCACTTAGTTTTAGAAATAACCCTTGGTGGTCTATGGCTATGCCAACCTGAACATGCCCGATCTCGTCTGATCTCAGAAGCTAAGCAGGTTCGGGCCTGGTTAGTACTTGGATGGGAGACCACCTAGGAAGACCACGTGCTGTAAGTGTAAAAAAATAAAATAAAATAACCCTCGAGAGGACCTGAACTGGGCCCATCAAGGCTCGTGGAGAAGGACGCAGGCCCACCCACATGCAGCCCCCCGCCCTGGCCCTGCTCATTCCCTCCGAGAACATGGTGCTGGCTCCGTTCTTATCTCTCCCGCCTCCCCTCTGCCTACATGTGCTGGACTTGATTGTAGGACTGGACCTCTAGATCAGCATCATCTCCCTTCTCACCCCTGCGTCACAGCTGCCTTGGGACCTGGGCAGTGAATTAGAAAGACTCCTACCTCCTCGTCCTTCTGCCCTAGTCTTCCTTCCCAGCCCTTGCTTGCTACTGGTGTGGAGATTCCTTCTCCTTTCTGTTTCCAGGATGTAGATGATGTTGATAATAATAACATTTATTGCGCACTTTCCATAGGCCATGCATGGCTCTGAGTACTTTACATGTATTGCCCCATTTGACCTCGACATGACCCTGTGAGGTTGGAATCCCCATTTCACAGATGAAGAAATGGACACAGGTCATGTGACTTGCCCAAGGTCGTGCCCCCTTAGTGCGGGTGTCACTGTTCAAGCCCAGCATTGGGCCCACTCTAGTCTGACCAGTCCAGAGCCCAGCGCCCCCTCCCCGGGGGTGCGGACTGAATGGGCGGGCCTGGCAATGAGGGAGCATCCCCTGTCCCCGCAGAGGTCCCCCAGTTCAGCCCTTCTCTGGTGTCGGAGAAGATCCTGCTGCGGCTGCTCAAGTACCCGGATGTCATCCAGGAGCTCAGGTTCGATGAGCACAACAAGCACTGTGCCCGCCACTTCCTGTACTCCCGCAACAAGCCAGCCGACTACTTCGTCCTCATCCTGCAGGTGCGCCACCTGCACCTGCCCTGAGCCCCTGTCCCCGTGCCCCCACCCAGAGCCCTTAGGCCCGTCGCTCCTCATGTCTCCTTCCCACCTTGTCCTTTTTCCCTTTTTACTCTGTGACCCTGACCTGTGTTCTTCCAGGGGAAGGTGGAGGTAGAGGCCGGGAAAGAGAACATGAAGTTCGAGACTGGTGCCTTCTCCTACTATGGCACCATGGCCCTGTCCTTGTCCCCTTCTGGTGAGTTGCTGGCTGTACCTGTGCTGCCCTTCAGTAGGCCTGGAGGGAAGAGTATGCCAGAGAGGGCCCGCGCTGCCAGGCCTTGAGGCAGTGGCCTGGAGAGTAGTCACTTGCCCCTTTGGATAGGACTTGGAGGTCGGAGGGAAGGGAAAGGGGTTCTAAGCAGAGGCTTGTGGGGAGCCAACAGTGCGTCCTGAGACAGTGAGACCAGTCTGCCAGAGCAGAGGAGACTGGGGCTAAGGATGAGTCGGGGGGCCCCAGAAAGTCAGTGGCATTTGGTTGCTGTTCGTAGCTTTCAAGCAGGGAAGCAGAATGTAGAGTGGGCCAATGGCCTGGTGGGCCATGGTGCTCTCAATTGGCTGTCACATTGGGTGGGGAGTTGAGAGGTGATGGGTAGAAAGAAGGTACAGGGCCTGGCCCCTGCACACTGGGAAAGGGGACCCAGGGTGGAGTGAGGGACCCAAAATGCCCATGGTTGGGGCCACACCAGGGCACGTGGCACACAGATTTGGCTTCTCAGGCTTAGCTACCACCTCTTGGTTAAGGGTTGGTTCTAATGGAATAAAGCAACTTGTGGGCAAAGAGAGTACTGGGCACTCTCGAGAGAGGTGACTGTGCTGCCCCAGTCCTGGTGCCCTCTGCTTCTCCAGTCCCAGTGGCTCAGGCGCCTCTTGTCAGAGTGGCCTGTCGCTGGAGTGGGTGCCTTGCTGGCGAGGTCCATGTCTTGGCCAACACAGCTCCTCACTGGTCCTGGGAACCCTCCGAACCTTGAGGGGGCCCAGGTGGCTACACACTGAGGAGTGGGTATCCTCTTGGTGCTGGGGGACAGGCCACGCGGTAAGGTGGGTGCTGCTGCTCCTGGGAGCCTTGGCCGTGCCCACTGTGTCCTTTGATAAAGAGGACCCTTTCGGGGGCCAGGGCACCCAAACCTATCGACACAGCTCTGCCCTTCCGCTGGCATGCGTAGGATCCTGGAGGGAGGAAAGGGGACAGGATCTGGGTTTGGAGCAGGTGGTGGCCCCAAGAGGACTTCTCCACCCCTCCTGAAAGCACCTTGTCATCCAGCTTGTTCAGAAAGGCACACATTGTAGGACATTTTCTCAGTGCACCGTTCTCTCAGCGATGCCTCAGAGGCTGGTGTCACTATCCTGGGCTCTGCCCCTTGGCCCGGAGGCCCTCAGTCTCCATTTAGAGTGGCCAGAGGGAAGGGAAATGACTAATGGGGGGCTGTAGAGTCACTATGGGAGCTGTAGGCCCCCTCTACCAGCATCTGCCATCTCTGAGCAGGGCTCAGGGGTCTGCCCTGAGCACCCTCCCCATCACAGCCATCCCCTTTTTCACTGTGCTCCCTCGCTGCCCAAGGGAGCTGGACAGCAGGTATGCCTCTCCATCCTATCTATCCTTCTGGCTCCATGTCCTGCATCCTGACCAGGAGCCCATCCATCGCTGACCGTTTCCTCTTTTGCTCCAGTGCCTTCAACCCAGGCCGGGGGTCTGCCTGGTAAGCGGACCTCCCTGCTCTCCTGGCTCTCAGGTAACGTGGCATGGCTGGGAGAGTTTGCACTGCCACCTGTTGCCTGAGCCCACACATCACAGCTGCATTATTAACCTGTCCCAACAGGCACTGGGGCTCCCTACCTGTTCACACTTGTAAGCCAGCCTAGCCTGCAGCGCAATTACTGATGGCTTTGCCTTGGTCCTAGAAGGGCTTCCCTAAAGGTTCTTGAGAAGACACGCGTGTGTGTGTGTGTGTGTGTGTGTGTGCGCGCGCGCGTGCGTGCACACACACCACACATGCATGTGTACACAAACAACACACAGGCACATGCACATGCACACACACTTGCAGATAATAGGCTGGGATGGAGGGTTGCTCCTAGCCTGGCCAAGCTGTTCATCCCCCTGATCAAGACCTCACTCACAGACCTCACTGTGGTGACTTCCTTTCTCATCAGTTTTCTCTACAAACCTTTCCACCTTTCCTCACATGCTTTGCTTCTCACCCTGTGGCTGCTGGTATCTGCGGGCGGGGGGGCAGTGGCCGGGCCATGTGATAGCCCACAGTCGCTAGCTCGGTCATTCTAGGGGCTGCCTTTCCCTCCTTAAGTCTTAGTTTCTTCATATGAGATGGGAACCGTGCACATGTCCACCTCTTAGACTCGTCGGGAATAGGGGGGGACTTGATAAATGTTTAGTTAGAGCTCAGTTATTATCTGTTTTTTCTTTATTGTAACTGTAATGTAAAATTCCAGTCAAAGTATTTAGGAAAAGGCCAAATGCCATATGCTGTTTCTGGCCTTGGGAATGTCACACTCCTGAGTCCTGTCCCAGGACTGGTGGCAACTATGCTGGCCACACTCATTCAGTTCGAGAAACCCCAGCCCTGTGTTCCGAGGCAGCAGAAGGTGGCGGGGGTGCTGGCCTGGCGAGCTGAGAGGAGGTTGAGAGCAGACAAGTGTGAGGTCCCATCTCAGTGTGTGACGTAGAAGAGTGTCTGAGACCCCACATCCTGAAAACCCAGCGCCTCAGCCCTCTGTTTCCCATCTTATATTCCTACAGCTGGGTTTTTCCTTCTTAACTGTACCAAATCACACTTTGCTGTTGATCCTCTTCTAAAAAAAAGTTAAAAAGTGACTTAGAAGCCACTGGTCCCTTTCAAACACCCAGCTTTGGGCTGTGATGGGAAGTGGCAAGCCAGTGTGGCCTTGGAATTGGGATGTCTGATGAGCACAGAGGGACCGTTTGCCCTCATTAGCTACTGCCTCGCCTCCTTCTCCCTCTCCCACACTTGCTCTGCGTTCACAGAAGGCCAGGAGTCACGCATATGTGGTTTGGATCGTGGCACTTTTACCAGAGATGCTTTTCTCTAAGTTTTCTAGTTAGTTAGTTTGACCAAGCAGATGTGCCTTCATTATCCCCCTTATTCATGGGGGTCTATATCCTAAGTCACGCCACGATGTAAAGCTCTTGGTGAAAAACTCTTTCTGTGTGTAAGATTATATCCTTAGAATATTTCTTCAAATATAAAATTACAAAGTCAAAAACTCCTAGTTTTTGTTACATATATTATTTGTTTTTATCATTAAGTGCTATAGCTTATTTAGAAAATTGGGAAGTAGAAAAAAGTCTTAAGAAAATTAGGAAGCCTCATCATTTCATTATTCAGAGATAATACTTAATATTTTGGTGTGTTTCTTTTGGGGGCCTCTATTTTTAATAGGCCATGTCACTAATTTGTGTTGGTTTTAAATTTTATTTTTCTGGTATGTTAACAAGCATTAATTAAAAGCAGTCCATCATCCAGATAATTAATGTGAAATATTAAGTGATATCTCTAGTGTTTTTTTCCAGAACTCCATCAGAGGTGTTACTCAGGGTAGAATGCATGACCCTCTGATGTTTGTACACTGTCAGACCGTAGAAATCCAGGCTGTGTTTTCCTAGTTTTCTGAATGAAGCCCAAAGATGTCCTGTTACTGATTCATCTGACCTGGTTATAGCTCTGTTGGTCACTCGGTCACCAGATGTTTGCTCTCTTCACTGAGCTAACTTAGTCATTAGTTAGAAAGTTAGCAGTTAACTAAGAAATCAGCTTAGTCCACTTCCTGTTTGTTTAAACAAGGCAGCTGTACCTTCATAATTAACTCCTCTGTGGGTATCATCGTTTTATAAGTGTCCTCAAAAATCAGAACTAGTGATGCACAGTGATGAGTGTGGTTCCTTTTTCAAAACGAGGAGCGTGCTGCTTTCCTTCCCCATTTGAGGTTATGTCATTCCCTTCCTGGTTAGTCCACAGAATGGAGGCCTGCGCTGCCACTGGTGATGGGAAGAGGTGCTGCCACCCTGTCGAGGCTTTGCTTCCTGGGAAGGGGACTAGGACCAACTGGAGTGGGAAGCGTGCAGTTCCAGGGCCTCTAGGTTCCTGGGAGGGGGACCCTGCTGCTCCGTCCCCCTGCCAGGCTATCGGGGGCTCAGCAGATACAGGTGGATGGGGTAGACCGTGCAGAATGGGTTCTATGCAGACATACGTTTGATCTCTTACGAGCCTTTCAGATGTAGGCAGAGTGTTGTGTTGAGAGCTGTGTGTGAATGCAAACTGTAATTTACACAGTTTGTGTTCAGTGATGAGCTGTTCCATCTGCTGCGGGAGAAACCGCTGTGCTGCCCGACTGACCAGTTGTTGGGGAAATGAGGGCTTTTGTAGCTGTAAACATCCTGTGTCTTCCAGTTCTGTTTGTGTTTCGATAGGTGTTTTCATACTTATCGCATAGCCCTGCTAAAGAAACTAACTCGTTTGCTCTGATGTGGTCGAACCTGCTTGTTCCTGGGAAGGGCTCCTGTTGCCTGTCAGGGCTACAGCCCTGGGCATCCACGGGACACGGCTGGACAGGAGGCTGTAAGGGCAGCAGGGTGGCTCGGGGCCTGATAGCACTCTCCCCTGCAGACCGCTCACCATCACACCCCAGCCCCCTGAGCCGCTCGGCCTCCCTCAGTTACCCGGAGCGCACCGACCTCACCAGCACCGCGCCCTTGGCCAGTAGCAGCAACCAGCTGGGCGGCTCGGCACTGGGCCAGTACGTGTCTGACTTCAGTGTCCGGGCACTCACAGACCTGCAGTACATTAAGGTAAGTGCACCAGCCGCCGGCATGTCCCCAGCCCTGACCCTTGCTCTCCACCTGCTCCAGCCCTCTGTGACCTGCACGCCTCTTGCAGATCACCCGGCAGCAGTACCAGAATGGGCTGCTGGCCTCGCGGATGGAGAACTGCCCTCAGTTCGCCCTGGATGGGTGCACCGTCTGCACGGAGAGCCGGGCGGAAAAGCCAGAGCTGCCGGTGGTGGACGAGACCACAGCTCTCCTGAATGAGCACAATGCCATGCTGCACAGAGCTTCCCCCGAGAGCGCCATCTGACAGGAGGGCCCGGGGCCCCCCGCCAGCTCCGCGGGGGCTGCCCCAGTGGGCCCACCCAAAGACAGGGAGCCCATCAGGCCAGATGGGGTGCAGGTAGCCTGTCTGAGTGGCCAGGTGGCCCCCAGCCTGCGGGGGTGCCAGTCTCCACTGGGGACCTGTGAGCAGCTCGCTTGATGGCGGCTGCCCCCAGAGAGGGCCGTGCTCTACTGGAGACTCTGAATGAGGCTGATTGCTCCTCTTTTTAAATATCATTTGGGGAAGGGAAGACAGGGTTAAGGAATTTATTTTTAAAAATTATTTTTTCCACGAAAACTTTAAAAGGGGTAGGGTTTCTCACCCCAGAAGCAATAGCCATAATCTGCGCCCAGCCACGACCTGGCTGTGTCCCGACTCAGGGAGTCCACTTGTCCTCACCGTCCTCCAGAGACAGGTTCCAGAGGACTGCTGGAGGCAGGTTTTCTCTTGGGAGGAAGACTGCCCTTCCCAGGAAGCACAGAACCAAATAGCACTGAGAACAAGTGCCCAACATGCACGCAGGCTCGTCTGATGTCGCCGAGGCCAAGGGACTCTGGGGACTGGGATCAGGGACTTGACACTCCTGGCTACAGAGCAGTACGTCTGCTCCAGTCACTCATTGGATCCAGGAATTTCCGAGAACTCTGCTGGTGGGCTCTTCTGGTGAGTCGGGGCCATTGAGGACTCTCACCCGTTTCCATTGGGTCGCCTCTTACCTGCCCCTTTGGACAGTTCCACCTTGTAATGGAGTTGACTAAAGTATCACGCAGGGTGTCCCACCTTTCAGACTGCTTGCCCTGTTCCCCAGGCTGCCCTCACTTTACCAAAGGTCCACCTGGGTGGGGACAGCATTTCCATTAGAGATGACTTGTCTGTGGTACTCTTTCAGTGCCAGGAGGGAACCTGGTCATGGGCGTTGTTAGCAGGTAATACTGCCCTTTCCCACCCCACAGCCAAAGTCTATTCTCAATCCCCAAGCCACAAACTCTGCTTTCTAGACTCCCTACTTCTAATCTAAAACCCCAAGGCCTCTTGGGGATTGAGGACTGAGGACATGCAGGAGCTAACCTAAGCAGGTTCTTCATGCCCTTTCCTCTGTGGCTGAGGCTTACCTGCCCTGTCTGCACACTTCGAGAACGCAGGAAAGGCTTCTACCCTAGAGGCACATAACTGGCAGCCCTGTTTCCCCCATGGCATAACCCTAGAGCAAGGTGTCATCCTGGCCTGTGCTGAAGCTGGCGGTGCTGGATGGGCTGAATCAGGCCCTGCTGCATGCTCCAGGCCCCCCACCTCTGGGAGGCTGTGGGACCAAGGTCATTGGGGGCCTTTGTTGGGCAGAACAGTTGCTAGGGTCCGGGATCAGGTGATTCCTGCTGAGCCTCCGGACTTTTCGCTGAGGATCGTTTCTTCACTCCTTCACTCCTTTCCCCAGCCAGTGAGTTCTGTCACCCCAAGTGCTCTGCACTGAATTCAGGTGCCTGGAGAATCCTGTCTGGGAACCAGGAACTGCCTTGCACCAAGTATGCCTGCCCCTGGCCAGTCACAGAGTTTATTGCGGAAAGTCTAAAGAGAAAGTGGTGATACCCATGGGTTCTCAGACACCAGGCCCTTATACCCTGTTAGCGGGACTCCTTAATTTCCTACAGGAACAGCTTGCTTCCTGAGCCCGCACGGACTGTTCCTGAGACCTGACTGCCAGGTAGGGCCCAGCACATCGGCCTGAACTGGGTGCGTGTGTGTGAAGTAAAAGGACGGGTGTGTATACGCCCACAGCTACCTCTCCGCACACACAGTCACTATCAAGGACCTCCCCGCCCCTCCCTCCTCTCCCTACTTATAATCACTTCTTGCAGAGGGTCGTAATTATTTCCAGATATTACCCCCGTGCAGTTTTTCACTTCCTATTCCAACCTTTGGTTCCTGGGCTGAGCCCATCCCTGTGGAGGTTCCCACGTAAGGGGGACCTTCGCAGTTGGCCTCCAGGTGAGTAGGCAAGGCACAGCCACCATAGCAAATAACTCATATTTATTTTGCATAAGATTTTAATTTGTATATTTTTGTGATTTATTTTGGCATTGTTATGAGTTTGACTCTCGGGGAGTTTTGTTGTTATGACTCTTGTGTCTTTTGTCACAAAACAATATTTGCTAAACAATATATGGAATTTATTTTTGATTGGTAATAAAAAATGAAATATGAAATTTTGGTGAGTCCGCAGTTTGCCTATTTGTTAATATTTGGTACCTGTCACAGAGATAGACATGGCTGTGGTTGGCTATCACCTGTGTCAGGGCAAGGGACAAGTATTCTAGGACTGTTGAGCAGTAAAAAGAAAGCAGAAATGCAGTTTACAAAGTACAGAGAATCAAGGCTGTCACAGGAGCTGCTAGACATACAGGGCCAATGTACTCAGGTGCCACAGATGGGGATCATGTAAGCTGAACAGCACAAGGCCTCCTGCCTGCAGGTGCTGGAGGAGGCAGTTGGAAAGGCAGATCCCTCTCTCCTCTGGGGACTGAAGGAGAAAGCTTGATTCAAAAGCAGGACCCAACTGTTTTGTAACACAGTTACCTTTTTGTCCATAGTGGGAGCACTTATCCACTGAAGAGCCTAGAAGTAACCTCATTGCATCCACTGCTGCGGTGCCCATAGATGCCTTGGCCGCAGCTTGTGCTTGCATGTGCTGAGGCCAGGGGCTCACGCCAGCCAGGCTTAACAGAGACATATTAGGGGCAATGTTTGAAGAGGTACTTGAGTAGGTAGAGGACATTCCTGATGAAAGGAATAACAAATGAAAAATGGGTGTATAGGTGGGAAGGGTCAATCTCATCCACCCACCTATTCCATGCTTACTCTGCTGCATACCACATGCTACCAACCCCACAATGAGTTTACTGAGGCAAAGCTCCTAAGGGAGTCACACAAGGACCCCTTTGATTTGCTGTTGCGTCCTTGGAGAAGCCTTACCCAGTCACCTCACATAAAACAGCACGGCCCCAATCCCCATCTTGTTTTTCTCCATAGCACTTACTGCCAGATGTTAAAACATGATTTGTGTATTTCCCATTGTCCCCATACCGGAACCTAAGCTCCAGGAGGGCAGGGACTTTCTTATTCCCACATAGTCCCAGCTTTGGAACAGGACTTCGTAAATTCCATGCCTGTTGAATGAATGGGTGATGCGTCTTACTATGTAAGGTAAGTACTGGATCTACTGCGCCCCCAGAACCTTGGCCCAACTTAGTCAAGAGGGTCGAGAAAGGCCAGCTGGAGGAAGTAACATTTGCAGACTAGAGAGAAGCAGGAATTAGTGAAGTCACAATACCTATGGGTTTGAAACTCAAGTATTTAGATATAATATGGAAGTAATTGTATTGAACCAGATGACTAGTAAAGAAAATGGCCCAGGGAGGGGAGAGGGACATGAAGGTCAAATGGCAAGTGTCTCCATTGATGCTGTGACTAACCAAGGGACTGGAAAAAAGCCGGTGAGGTATCAATGGGCGAGGCTTCTGCTTAGCAGGAAAGTACTCGTGACCCCTTCACCCTGAACTTCATTCAGGTCCGAGGCACGACAGTCCAGAAGATTGTCGGTGTGACTCAGTCGCTCCGAGTGAGTGTCCAAAGGTTTCCGCAACACAATGAGTTACAGGTCATTTTCCCTGGGAGCCTGAGACCCGGGAAGCGGTGAAGTGCAGGGGCAGATCTAGGCATTTCTGACAGGTCTCTGAAAGGGGCTGGGGGATGAGGGAGTAGAAGGCAGGTCGCGCTGGAAGTCAACTTCCGTGCCGACTCACGCTTCACTTTTCTCCTGGAAAATAATGACATGAAGTAGCTGCGAGGGTCCGGGGGCGTAGTGATGGCGCGCATTTCCGTCCTTCCCTCCAGGGGCAGTGTCCCCGTGCCCGGACCTGCAGCGGGGACAGACTCCCTCACGACATCCTACGGAATGGAACCTTAGCTTCCCGATGCTCAGTCCCGGTTCTCCCTTCAGCTGTCCTGCCTCGAGGCCGTTGATAGCCAGGCCTTGCCTCAGAAAGCGGTATGCCGCCCTCCCACTGAGACCTCCGCCCGCTGCTGCCCGCCCCGACTCCTGGCCCCGCCTTCTCCGAGCGCGAGGCCCGCCCCCCGGTCGCCCCGGCCCGCGCCACTTGTTTACGCGCCGGCGCAGCCTAACGGCCTGGGCCCGCCCTCGCGCACCGCCCATTGGAGGAGGGGACGCGAGGCCGGCGCCGATTGGCCGGTGGAGGCGGAGGTAGGCTGCGCGGAGGCCAAGAGAGGGCGGCGGGCGATGGCGGCGGCGGCAGGGCTGCTGGGTTGCGTGATGGCCGCGCTCTGCCTGGGCCACACGGCCGGGGAGGCGGCACCGGACCCAAGAGTGCTGGGCGTCTGCCTGGAGCAGGCCGGCACTGCGGGCACGGCGTGGGCGCGCTGGGGGCAGGTGC